AAAAAATCAACTGAAGTCTGACCAAAAAAGCTCAGAGCAAGGTCCTTCTGACAGGGATATACTAACAGACTTGGCTGGCTACAGCCCCACCACCTGCAGATGATCATCCAGTAAGAGTTTGGGTTGGCAAGAGGGACCAGAGGCATCGATGATGACAATAATTACCTGGAAACAGAAACATCTCCAATCAGCAGGGCAGAAGCTTGTATTATTCATTGGATTTGACTTAATTTTGCTTGCTTTTGGGTCATTTTGATCTTCAGTGATATAAAACCAGACAGAAGCAACTACTAGATCATATGACAGTATCAGTTTAAAGAGAGGGGAAATGGGTGATGTTCCTCTCCCACATCTAACCCTTTTGACAGCACAGCTGTGGGTGTCACTGTGCAAGAGTGTTCGTTTTGTTAGTCAAATTTCTGCCACGCAATGAATTTATGAGTCAGTAGTAGGCACATCAGTATGGGATCCTTTAGTTCTGTTCACACATGCAGAGTGACAGGTCCCAGCTGGCTGCAGTAATCCAAAATGGATCATCTTGTCTAACAGACACCAGGATTATCCCAGAGATATGTGCCCAACAGATGGGCACCAGGGCATTCACAGAGGGTATCGCTAGGCATTTCTCCTTCCTCCTGCACATCCCAACCCAAGAGAATTCACCTGTTTATCCCAGGATAATCTGAAACCTACTCCACACACATCTCTGCACACCAGCTTCCTACCAGCAGCTGCAAAGCACAACCAGCCACCACAGAGCAAGGTGAGGCACCAACATTTACAGCTGTCCCTGGAGCAAGAGAAGCCAGCACACATCCTTCAGGAGCAAGAGCATTATTAATTCAATTTTGGCTTTCAGAGCTACAGTACCAGAAAATCTTATGATTTCCTTTGCACATCTACAGGTGCTTCAGCTGCTCCCCATGTGCAGGTGTGAAGTGGCCAGTGCAAGGCAGGGCTTCCCCATCAGACTGGCTGTCTTGATTTTCTTGTGCCTGCTCAGACTTTGCAGCACAGCCCTAGGAGGGGCAGGAGGAGTTGTCTGTCTACATCCCTGTATTCCTTGCTGCTCAGGAACTTGAAGGAGCTTTTGCCAACCCTTCTCCACCTGCTTGTTGCGGGAAAACATTTGGATTGCACTGAGGGCTGACATATCTAACAAATTCCCCCTCACTGTGTCTGGGTGTCCTTGTGCAATTTTCTCTCCTTTCCCTCCATCTGTACTCCTTTTGTATCTGCTCCTCTGCCCAGCAGTCTCCCCTTCCTGGCCATGTTGCCCCAGCTGAGCAGAGGTCAGGCTTCTCCCAAGCAAAGCAAGGGGGTTCATGTGAGATAGAGGAGCCAAGATCTCCCCTCAGGGAGCTGCTCAGAAAGCCCATTGCACTCTCAGGGAGAGAAAGGACATGTCGTCAGGGTGCTGGAGCAATAGCCATATGCATTTTGGGCTGTCATACAATTTTTCCCCATCCCATCCCATCCCATCCCATCCCATCCCATCCCATCCCATCCCATCCCATCCCATCCCACTGCTGCGTCACTCAGTCCCAGCTGCTCCGCAGACAAACACACACAGCCCGCCGTGTCACTGAGCTGCTGTCAGAAGCTCAAGCCTTCTCCCTTTCCAACCTGTTATTTTGCTCTCCTGGCAGTCCCAGCACCCACGTGCAGGACTGTCATCCCCAATACTGGCAGTGCTGCAAGACTGGAAGGAGGCAAAAAGAGCTGGTTTGTGGGTTATGGTGGAAAGGAGAGTGATGCTGCCACAGGAACAGGGCCAGGCTACAAAGGCCTGAGCCAGCCCATATGCTGTAACACCACCCACCCCCAACACCACATATTCAAGTGCACACTTTTGTTTCATCCCATTGTAAAGGCTGAAAACAGGTAAAAAAGAAGATCCAAAACCAGGTTATTCACCTTCTTCAAAAATTAGAGGGCTGGAGATAAGGTTTTACTTTAAGATCATCAAAACAACAGCGGGAGGGGAACAAAATAGCTCAGGTCAGAATTCCAACTTTAGCCAGTATAAAATTTAAGGAAACATCTTTGATATAAGAGAAACTGGAGGGAAAAAAAATCTGCATGAGCAGACCCTCAGCTCCTTTCCTCCCCTCAGCTGCCCTGTGAGCACAAGCCTGGCTGTGCCTCCTGCCCACCCACCCCGCAGGAGCTGAGCGTCACAGAACCATTCTGTGACAGCTCTAATGGACCATCCCAGCCTGTCTCCAAACCCTTCTGTGCCTTGGCCTATTTGGAGCTGGAGTGCAGCCCAGCTGTGCCCCGAGGACTGCACCGTCATCCCCAGCACCGCTCTGAGCCCGTCCTGCCACGACTCAGCAAATAGCTGTAGGTCGTGCTGGACATGTTCTGCATTTCGGGAAAACCTCCTCCACGGGGAACAGGCATCTCCCATTAGCCTTAATAGAACCTAAATTTGAACACAGGGAGAAAACCTCATGCAATATTGATGGTACAGTACTTTAACAGCATACACTGTACCCATGTGAGAGGCTGCTCAGCTCACACCCTCTCTGGCCCGTCTGATCTCCTTTCAGATGAATTTGCACATGAAGAATGTTCTTTATCTTCACATAAGCCTTTACTTTCTGAGTGATATTTGAAGCATACAGTGTATTTGGTGTATCAAAAAAAATATTCCTCCCTCTATTCTTCCATTTTTGGAACTAATTCCCAGCTGGGAAGAGTCCCTCTGGTGGGCCTTTCACAGGAGCTACTAAGCGGCTCTGCAAAGACCACCCCTGCCTTTGCCTCACCAGTGGTGTTAGACACCTCCCAGGTTTCGGCCCATCGACCTGATCACAACATCTTGATGAATTAATGCTCATGTAGGCACAGTTGGCAGCTTCTAAATAAATAACTATGGCTAAGCAGCTGCAAAGGAGATGTCATGTTCCACCAGAAAGCCAGATGTCAATTTTACTGGTCCTCAGAGTTTCAAATTAAATGGTTTCAGGAAATTTGGAATGAAATTATTTTGGAAAATTTGGAAAGGGGGTTCTTTCGCTCCAGGTGAATTTTGTGCCTACTCTCAGGGGGACCAGCTGCAGCCAGACCTGAGAATGTGGCTGGAGAACCCCTGCAGCCCACCCGTGGCTCCTTCACAGCAGCAAATGATTCAGAGCTTAACAGAACCATTCGGCTCGAGATAAGAGAGACTGGTTTGGCATCATGGCCGTGGCTTTAGATTTCACCTAGGAAAGTGCCCTTGGAAAAATCCATCTCTGAAACTGTATCAGTGTCAAAAATCCACAAAACTTATAGGAACCAAATGCAAAGCCTATTGAACTGGGTAAGAGTCTTTCCAGGAACTTTAATTGGATTGGGCTTTCCCTGCACTGGTGAGAGAAGATTTTGTGATGCATGCTATAGACTTTCACTCTCCAAAATTTCTAAGGTCCCTAACCGTGGCTGTAGTGCTGTGGAAGCAGTGAGAGCAAGCTCTGAGAATAAAAATTTGAGTAACGTGGAAGTCAGGAGTCTGTGTTTGCTAATTCAGGCAAACCCCATGTTCATCCTCTCTTCAATTAATAAAAATCATTGTGCTTATATGGAATGCATTTTTTTTCTGATTTGAAGTATAAATGCAAACACAATTTATTTTAATCCATTCCTTTAACTACATTAGTTCTCCTCCTAGAACTTGTATGAGTTTCAAGTAGAAGCTGCCTAATAACATAAATCATCCATCCCTGTCGGAATATAAGCGGATCCATGACCTTAGAACAATTTTGTTAAGAAATCCAGCTAGAAAACTAATTTTAAGTAAATCTATGGATGTCAAAAACCCAGATGGCTTTTCAGGATGCTAACTTAAGCTTCATTACATAAGCAGATTAGGGCTGCCTGTTGAGCCCCACACAAGAGTAGATGTGTGCTGAATCCACGGAATTACATCCAAACTGTTCACTTCCTGATACATCTTACATCTAAAACTTTTGTCAGCTCCCCACGCCTCAAGCCTGTCAACTGTGAGCACCACACCCAGCACGGCAGCTCTGCCAACCAAGCGTTCTCCCTCTATCCCTCTTCCAAGGCCACTAGCCAAAGCAGCAGCTGGATAAAACCCATTTCTGCAGACAGACTGGGGAATTGTTCCATCCTTCACCCTCCTCGAATGAAAATGGAGGAAAACAGCCTCATAAAGCTCTCAAATATTTAAGCACAGCAGTTGTGGAATGATTTTCTGATACAGACTTATAGAATCAAAATTACCCTCATGTTACCAATGGTAACCAGCCTCTACCTGAGTATCGGCTTAGGAAGTTAATGAGCCCAGCAGCGCTACCGGTTCAAATCAGCACAGCAGAGTGCGATCTGATGTGACTGCGGGAAGCAGGGCACACACTCCTCACGGATGAGGACAGCTGGGTTTTCCACAAGCATGTTGCATAACAAGGCACAGCACCCTGCCCCTCTCTGCACTGAGCCCCCATTTCAGAGCACAGCAGCTGGCTCCAAGGAGGCTCCGCTGAAACGCGGCCAGAGCGACGGGGATTGTGTTTTCCCTTCCCTACGTGGAAGTGTGTCAGGTCTGCTGACAGATGGCTTGGCTGACTGTGCTTGACAATTATCAAGCTGTTATTACCTTTGTAAAGTGAAACCCATTTGAAGATTTTCTGTAATTAATTCCACAGCGTGTTTGCAAGGCTCGTCTTGTGTCCCACACATCCCGGGAAGTGTGCAAGGCATTCAGCTGGTTGATTTACACAGCTAGAGGCACCACATCCTCCAGGCACGCGGACGGGGCGCTTTCGGCAGTCTGTGCTGCCACCTAGCCAAGGCCAACCCGCTGAGCTCAGCCCTGGTTTGCATTTCCAAAGCTTAAACCGAAATGTATCCCCCCAGATCTAAATAAAGCCGTAGTCTGCAGCAGACACAAGGCAATCGGCACTCTTTGTGCCTTGGGAATTGTACAGTCAACGGAAGAGAGCAGCTTAAAGCAGGGAGTTACATTTCCCTCTGAAACATCTTGTACTTACGGTAGAAGACATATTCAGTGTAGCTGGACCAGACCTTGTCGTCTGTGTACTGGTTGACGAAGGAAGCTGTCACCGAGGAGTTACAGGCCACCATGTGGAATCCACACTCGGACAACATGTCGAAAGCCCTCTCCAGGTGCTTGAACTTGAGATAAAACCTGGAGGTGTACCTTTCTGGAGCCCTGTCTGGGTCTCTGCTTTCATTCAAACTTTCTCCAAAGACCTCTTTGACCAGAGCAATCCTTCCACAAACCAAAATCCTTGGGACCCTCCTAAATTTGGCATCTGCTTGGCTCTCCCTGCCAATAGTGCACGACCCCCGGTACCCAATGGTAATGAATCCCCACTTCCGATCCGGTGGTAAGAGCGATGAGGGTGGGCATATTCTCGTGTCACTGCCTTGGGAGACCTCTTCGTAGTCACTGTGGCAATAATCATCAGGGCTTTGCTTGTTGTCATCAGGAGTCAGGAGTTTGACTAAGTCCGGGAGCTGGAAGTACTCAGCCTCCCTCTTGAGCCTTCCCTTCTCTGGGAAGTGGTCGGGCAGAACCACTTGCTTGTCCCTGAGATAGTCCAGAATATAGCGGAAAAGGAAACCATCTCTGTCGATGAAGAATCTTCCCTTGGAGTCCTTGGCCAGATCGTTGGCTGTGTCTCTCTTTGGGGTGAACATTTTCCACAGCAGGGAGTGAGGGGTGCCAACCAAGGTGGAGTGGCGAGTGAAGTAAACCTGGCCGCCCACATTGAGCTCCACTACCTCTGGGAAGGAGTGCAGTCCAGTCCCCTGCTCCCGAGGAGGAAGGTAAGTCCTGCAGTTGCCACTTAGAGCCATTGTACTTTAAACCAGAAATCAACAGCACAAAGCAGCAGGACTATCAATCACATCAGAGGGTAGAATAAGGCTCCCAGCATTAAGGAAAAACAGCAGGGAAAGGAGAAGTGAGAAAATAATGATAGCCAAAAGGTTTGTTTAAAAAAAAATCTGAATTGTCCATGAGTGACAGCGTGGCAGAAGCGGTTTATACCCTGAGCCACGGAGGCTGGAGAGCAATCACCTCATGAAATGCAATCACATCATTAGATCTTCCAACAAAGCCATCAAAATCAAGGTCAAGCCAAGCCTATGGTCACTCACAGGTCTGTCGAAAGGGAAAACAAAATAAGGCACAAATTACTCTTGTAAGCATCACAGCAGCTGTAACAGAGCAAAGCAGAGCAGTTTGTAGAACCAAGCTAGATCTCCTGCTAAATAGGTCTCTTTTTTTGCAAGTTCTATGCTGCTTTTTCACAAGTATTCATCAATGGAAGGGCTACATATGACTCCACTGTTTAAAAGAAAATGCATACTTCATTATTAAAGAAACGTTTAAATTCGACATGCTCATGAGGGAACAAAAACAGGGAGTCTTACCTTGGTTACAATTAATGCATAGCTCTTGTAAAGGAACCCAAATGTCAAGACACTCAGAACACACATACAGGCACACAGGGTCCGGGTAGTGTGAATCCGATCCCAGCAAGGGACAGCAAAGGCAAGAGAAGTGCTCTTAGCAACATCCACGTAGATCTCAAGAGTTAAACCGAGTCACAGGGAAGTTAACCGTGGCGGGTGACGAGGAAAACCAGTGCATACAGCACGGGGGAGGAAAATAAAATAAATAAATAAATAAATAAAAACAAAACGAAAAATTCCCGAGTGGATGCTCTGGGCGGGGGTAGCGGGAGGGCAGCGCGGGGCGCGTCTGCCGGCTCCGATGACTTGCAGAAAGCCCTCAGCCTGCGCTAGGGACTGCCGGGCTCCGGCGGCTCCCGCGGCGGCAGCGAGGCGGGCAGCGCGGCCGGCGGCACCGCCATGGCCCGCCGGGACCGCCGGGGCCGCCCCGCGCCGCTCCGCTCCGCCCCGCTGCGCCGCTCCGAGCCGCTCCGCTCAGCGGGCCGGGAGCGCGGAGGGCGATGCCGATTGCATCATCTTAAAGGAGTCGGGCCGGGATAGGCGCCCGCGTCCCGCGCCGAGAGCGGGCACAGCCGGGCAGAGTTGGGGGGCAGAGCCGGGCAGAGCTGGGGGGCAGAGCCGGGCAGAACCATGCACGGCCGGGCACAGCCGGGTCAGAGCCGGACACGGCCGGGCACCGCGGGCAGCAGCAGCACCGCGGACAGCGCCAGTCGCAGCCGCGCCGGGTCCGTGGCCGCCGCCGCCGCCTCCCGCTCCGCTCGAGTTGGGATGAAGTCCCCGCCCCGCTCCGTCCCCTCGGCCGGCAGCGCCCGTCCCTGCCCCTCCACAACGTGCCTGTCCTGGCTCCGCGCAGCCCCGCGGGGGTCTCAGCTGGCGATGCGGGCGGGCAGGGCGGGAGCGCCCGGCGCGGGGGGGCTCCCGGAGCCCGCGGCTGTCGGACAGGACCGGGCTTTTATCCCCATCGCCCCAGCGGCGACTGGCGCGGGCAGGAGCCGGCAGGGACGAGAGGAGGAGGAGGGACCGGGGGCGGCTCGGGCGTACCCGCTCTAGTTGTGGGTCTGTAACGGGGGGAGCCGTGGCCGTGGCTCCGCGCCCGCCCCGCGCTGCCCGCGGGCGCGCCGGCACCGCCACCTCGCGTCTGTCCGCGCTGCTCGGCCCGGGCGCTGCGGGCAGCGAGAGAGAGCCGAGCGCTCCGGGAGCTCCGGCGGGACACCGCGAGCCCCCGCTCACAGCGCCCGGGGGAACGAGCCCGTCACGGAGCTGAAACCCGGCGGCGGAGCTGCGGGAGCGGCTCCCGGACCGCGGGAACGGGGGGCACAGCCCTGTGCCAGCACGCACCAACCCTGGGCAAAAATATGCTACTCGGAATGATAACCATATGAGAAAATGAAGCCTTTTACTCAAACGTTGACCAAAAGCTTTACAGTGAAATCTCTGTGTGATGGAGTTAGCGTGTGCAGGTACATTTCACTGACTGCACTTAAGTTGCAGATACTTCAGTGAGATTCTTCTGAAAACATGGCCATAATTTAAAACAAAATTGTCAAAAAGCACAATTTTCAAGGCTAAGGCAGAAAGTCGTTATTTGTGTACTTACAGACTATTCAAATTAAATCTGACAGCTGAACAGTTAATCAAATTCTTGATTTTTACCGTAATTAATTAATTCTGAAACAACTGCTGTGCTCCTGAACCAAGGATCTGTCTCTCGCTTCAGGATCTGATTCCTAATTTTCAAACCAGCAGAATCTGGTGCTGCTACAGAGAATGCTCGTTGTGGCTCAGAGAAAAGCCCAAGTCCTGTGCCCCTGCCCTTGCAGCTCTGCAGAGCAGATGAAGCAGTACAGGTCAAGCGCTCCATAACCCTTGCACAGAGGATTTAAAGGTGGGATGTGAGATCATGTTCACTTAAATGTCTTCATTACTTTTTTAAGAGCCTTGGTGCAGCTGGTGCAGCCAGGATTTAACATCTGCATGACCAGCCAGAGAAAAACACAGCTCCCTTCAGGAACAGAGTTCACCAGGGCTGCCTCTGTTCAAAGCAGGAAGTATTACATCAGCTTTCCCAAATATTTTGGTTGCCCATGCTAATTAATATGCTGTAATCATATTAAAATCCATTTTCATAAAGGCAGTGGTGCCATATTGGAAGGGCTTGAAGAAACTATTCCCTCTCCCCAGTAAAAACTGATGGTGTTCAAACCAGCATGGAAGCGTTTGTGATCTCACCATGATTAAGATCCAAACCTTCAAGGCTGGGGTTAAAGATCACCTGTGTGGGTGCTTTGAGGGCCAAGACAACACAGTGAGTCTGATGTGCAGGTGCTCAGTGAACAGTGGGTGACAAGAGTCTTATAAAAACCTGTGACTCCTGACAAGCTCCACGAAGCATTCCGGCAAGGATTCCATGTGATTAGCCAATACAGAGAGCTCTAAGCTCTATGTCTTTTTGAAACATTATCATCAGAATTGCCCTTTGAAAAGAACAAAAACCTTAGAATTTTAATAACAACAGCTTTAGAAATGCATCTGCACTTTTCAAATAATAATGAAAGCAATTCAGCACCTGCTTTTATTTCTTTACACGGGATGTTCCAATCATTTCACTGTAACACAATTTCCTTTGATGAAATTACTTCAGTCATAAAAGCATCACATAAGGCTCCCCAGCTAAATACAAGCCATTGGCCAAATCCATCAAAATGCAGCCCGAGAGAGTGAAACTTTAAAATCTGGGCCAAATACACGGTGATGACCTAAATGTAAAATATGTGTCAGGTCCGTGCCAAGGAGCAGCTCAGTTCTGATGGAAAGAAAAACAGCATCCATCAAAGGGGGGAGGATAAAGCATGTTTCACTTCTAACAGATGTCTTTATAACCTTCAGCACAGCCAGGGGAAAACTTAGCGTGAGCTTAAAATGTATGTTCCAGAAGTCCCAACAGAGCTATGCTTAAGCCTGATCTATGAGTGATGTGACAGCATTCACAGGTTTGAGGTCATTCCTTATGACAAAGTGCTAAATTAGCATTTCAGGAAAACATGGGACAACCAACTTCATAGAATTCGGTGGGTGCTAAAAAAAGGTGTCTGAAAAGAAGTAGCAACGAGTGCTAGAAAGAAAGAGCAGTGTTCAGCTGGGCTGTAGTGGCAGTGGTGTGTGTACGTATCACCTCCACACATCTCCAGTGTGAACCCACAAGCTGGAAATTCAAATCAAGTCACCCACATGTAATGAGAAACATCAGAGTTGTTTATCAGCAACAAACACCATGCAGAGCTTTGAGGTGCTCAGTGAAGAAGCAATTGAAAGTAGCAGAAACTGAATGAGTAATTCTGGGGAAAAAAAAAATCTAAGTTGGATTTTGGACAGCAGATTTCAGCTAAAAAGCCACATGAGAACTTTCATCACTCTGGGTGGTTTTTACACAAAATAGTTTAAATAAAAAAGGAAGAAAGAAGAACAGTACTTCCAGTTCTAGGCCTGTGCTTTGATTCAGGAACAACTTCAAGGTGCCACCTAAGGATCCTTCAGCCCTGTTCCCTGTAACATTCTGTGCTCCTCAGTAGGCTCGTGTCTAAGTACTGAGCCAAGGCGACATTTCCGAGGGCAGAACTCCAGCCAGCCAGAGGGAAGATGGCAGTTTTTGAGAAGGATGGTGTGGCAAAGGGACAAGGAAATGTCTGGATTGGGTTTACTGTGAGAGCCAGTGGTTTTCCCGAGAGGCAGAAACCACTTCCTACGCTGGTGCTCCCAGACAAGACTGCCAATCCGACCTCAATCCATGGCAAAGGACAGAGCCTGCTAGGAATCAGTTCCAGGCTCCTGCAAAGTTACAGACACCTCTCTAAAAGGTGTGTATCCTTTCCGTCACCCAGGTAGCTCCACAGATGGAGCTCCCAAGAAAAGAGGCAGGCAAGAACAAGTACAGTACAAGCTAAAATAGGAGATTATCCCCTTCTCCAGCAGTGTGAATTACATACAGTGAAAGTCTCATCTGCTGAAATCCAGCAGTACGTGGGAATGGGAAGCCCTCACAAATCTTTCACTTTGAAGAAAAAACATAAAGTAACACTAAATGGCAGAGTCTCCCTGAGAAAGGATCTTCCAGCAAAGAGCGTGAGTGCCTTGAAGCTGGGTTTATTCACAAATACAGAGTAAAGCATTACAAAGATATGCCCTTGATCTTTTATTCATAACTCAAGTGCATAATGTATTTTCATCAAAAACAGGCAAAGGGGAAGAGCAGCTTTCTGGACGTGAGCACGGGCACGGTGCAAGGCAGATGATTCAAACGCAGACATGAGAGAACGTTTCTTCCCACCATGTAACACACAGAGGGGTCACAGCTTCTGCAGATGAGACCGTTTGCTCCTTCTGGCAAACACCAAACCCACAGTACAAGCACAGCACAAGGTTTGAGGCTTACAAAAACTGACATTAAGGGGCTATCATGTTCCACTGATTTTGATATCAATCATCGTACATAAGACAACATTTCGGAAAAGAATGGATATATCCAGTGCTGACAACTCCTTTGGAACTTCACGGCCAGTGTTTAACAAAGCAACCTGCTACACAAACAACTCTAACACTGCGAGAGATCCAGCATGTACAGGCAGTCCTCATGGACTCACCTCGAAAACCAAGGACTAAAATCAAATAAAAAGCGCTCTTTTCAGTTCCCCCTCTGTAAGGAACTTTCTCTCTTACAAGTTCTGCCATAGCAAGGCCTGCTTCAGTAGACTTCTTCCTCCTCTCTCTTTTTTTCATCCCCCCATACTTCCAAAGTTGTTTGAATAATCCTTTTATTTTCAGTTTGGTTCAAATTATCCCATCATTAATACTGGTGTAATTAAAGTGTGCTTTTTAATGTTACAGTTAAAACAAAGTTTGGTCCTCACTGGGTACCATGATGATGATAATAATAATGATAACAATTATGATGATGATAATAATAATAATAGCAATGATGTATAACCCATGCACTAAGTTTATGAATATCTTTACTTTTCCCATCTTGGAGTCATTTCAAAGCCTCTTGCAAAACCAGAATCTCTGTTCAGACAGTGTTCCAAGCCAGGCTGGACAGAGCTTGGAGCAGTCTGGTCTAGTGGAGGGTGTCCCTGACCATGGGAGGGGGTGAAACTGTGTGAGGTTTAAGGTCCCTTCCAACCCATTTGGTAATTCTGTGATTCTGTGACAGCCACCAGTGCAGCTGGAGCTGATGCCTCAGGGAAGGGACGGTGCTTGGTGCTGCACCAGGCTGTAGCTCCAGGCTGTAGCCCAGGCTCGCTGAGCCAGGCAATCCACGTACTGCCCTTCCCAAGTCGTGCAGGAAGGAGCAGCTGTG